TTCAATCTGGTGAAACTAACTACTTGGATTATCTTTCCAAAACGGCGGTACTTTAACTGAGATTCTGTTGATTTAAAGTGCTTGCGTTGAAACGATAGTATCGCCGTTAACAGACATGTTCGAACGATTAAAAACATGTTCTTCTTAATGCCGTAATCACCAATTTGGGGTCTGGTTAATGGCTAGACACTGAATTTAGAAAAATAAATTCTTTAATTAACTAAAATACATACACGGCAATAAATAAAAGGAATCTCAGCGATGAGTAAAATGCGTACGTGAACTTGTAAAAACAGAAGGCGAAAAGTTCTCTTTTGCAGTTACGCAGAGATGATATTGTTATTGCACATGCGCAGAGAGGAAAACTTGAAGTGCCGACGAAATGTGTGTGTGTGTGGGGGGGGGAAGGTAGCCCCGCAACATATATGTGCGTAATAAAACAAAATTTAGATGTACTGATGAAGGAACACTAAGATGTAGAAATGCCAATGACAAAGCACACAGAAGGCATATTGAAGAAGAAGAATTCTGATTGCATAGAATATTAAAATGTTGAATTCGTAAAGACTAAAAAACTTCGCAGTTGAGGCAGATTAAATTTCATTTTTATTTAAACTAACATTAGTGGCCACAATTCACTTAATACTCTAACTGTGCTTATTTCCAGAAAATTTACATTGATAATGTTTTAAAAGAAAGAGAGCACAGCGAAATAGCTTCCAAGCAGCACACACGGTGAAGCTAAAGTGCGCAATTATCCAGTATGGAAGCTCATTACGTTCTCAAAAATTTGAGTTCAAATTTCAAACTAGCTAAGTCATCAGCATTATGCAAGCCATTTGATGCTGATTAATCTAAAAATGGCACAGTTCAGAAAAGTGTCTGCTACTTTTAGAATACAGAGAGCAAATATCCAAATTAAAAATAATGAGCTAAGATGCTATTATTAAATTAAATTACACAGCAGATTTACGCATTTTTCATCTTACACACACACACATATATATATGTAATGATATTAAAGCGTACTCGTGATGGCTGAGTGGTAGGGCAGGAGGAAGAAGTTGATACTAACTACGTTCAGCCAATTATCATCTTTATTTCCAAATTTCCAGGCACACTAGAATAATTCCTCATAGACAATATACTCTTTAATCATACAATTATGATAATTTCTTATAGACATTGGTTTTTTGAAAAAGAATGACACAAGCATTTTAAAGAAGCGAAGTGAGAAGATATTAGTATGTAGAAGCTAGCAGAATAATGATGTAATTAGCTCACCAGAGGTATTTATACATAAGTAGGTGTGATTCTAGAGACAAGCTATGATTGGTTTATATTAGTTTTAGTTGCCCTTCTCCAGGAGTGTTACATAACGTAGAAAGATCTCAAATTTGGGAGAACAAATGAAGTTAGGGAGAGATCACCAAATATAGAATGCTAATTTTGAGGTCACCAATTATTTTAAAATTGACCTATAGAAATAGATATCATATATTGCTATATCTTACATATATATATGAATGTATAAAGTACAAAGTCTTTAATCCAGACTCGTTGGGACTCCGGCGATTCCGGATTATAGATAATCAATTTAAATCTGGTAAGATTGCATGCAGAAATTATAAAATTAAATATGAAACTGTAATTTATGAATAAAGAGCATTATGATCTAAAGAGTATCAAAATTTACAAAAAAAAAAAAAAAAAAAAAAAAAAAAAGCTTATTTTATTTGTTTTACTTTATTAAACTTCTTTCATGTAAGTTGTTTAATTTAGAAAAATAGTTTTATGTGCTAATACTTTCTCTTTAATTCTATAAACAGACATAATTTCTTGTTCAGTTACAAAGTTCCGCTGTTCAAGTCCTGTAATTGCTGTGCCGAGAATACCGACTAAGTTGTCAATCGAACTTTTTTCGTTTTCAAAAACCTCTCTGTCACTTTCTTCATGTCTTTATCCATTTTTTTGCAGCAATTCCACTTTTTGTTTGATGGACATCGGAACATACTTTCGTTTTGTAGATCCTTTGAGATCTCTAGTATCAGAAATTCTTTGACATAATCGGAAGTTCAAGTTTACTTTTATAAAATTGCTCTTCAGTTGCAAAAATAAATAACTGGAAATAATTCGAAGATTAAGGAACAACGCAATCTGCAACATTACTGAAATAGATAATTAGATCATTTTAGTCTAGCTTATACCGTCCGTTATACATTAAACGTGTATGCGTAAAGGTATTATCCGTGTGTGTAAAGGCATATGCGTAAACGCTATGCATGCGCAGAAAGTTTGTAGCTTTGAGGTCCGGATTATAGATCATTCTGGATTAATGATATCCGGATTAAAGACTTTGTACTGTATATATGTGTGTGTGATATTTTTCGTTAAAAAGTTTTATAATAATATTTTAAAAAATTTTTAAATATTTGTGTAATTGACTATAACTAAAGTTAAACCTCCCATAAACATACATTCCCAGGATCAAGGTTTTTGTCCATGTTCAGAGAATGTTCACCACATGACACTAACAGTATATTTTCTTATTTTGAGGGTCTGAGGATTTAAGAAGTGTCAACTAAAGTACAGTATCTTTTAATGCAAGTTTGAGTGTATCTTGTAAGCATGAAACTTTTCATTATTTCATTATACGTAAAAAGTAAAAAAATAATTGTTTTGAGTCTAGTATGATACACTTTATTTGAAAGAAGTCGTTGAATTAAGAACCAGTATACTGCATATCTAACTCAGTAAAACAGATTCCTACAACTTTAACATGATGGTAACATTTGCGTGTATCAGTTTACATTAATTTTACAGTTAAGCACATTAATTTTTTAAAGCTTAATATAAATACAAGTTTTTTTTAAACAGAAACTATCTTGAAATAAGGACTTATCTTTTATTCTCTATATTCATTAATATATATTAAAAAAAAACTTTAATATGTAACTGAAATAAAACAAATTTGATAATCATATGGAGTATTAAAAAAATTCTCATACTCTACAAAGCATTTAAAATGAAATCATTGGCATCATTCAATATGCTAAAAATAGAATTTGAATTATGATTTAATGTGTTATTCTGAGTAGACTTTCTGTAATTTACTCATATTTCTTCCTTAAGGAAAAAAAATCTCAATTAGAAAACTCAAGTGAACTCTATAAAGTTTTGCATTTTATTACAAATACAGATGCCAGCAACTCAATGGTACTAGTTTGTTTTAGAGTAACATATTTCTAAAATCCATACAAAATTTTAATGAAAAACATTATACTTAAGCTTAAACAAACAAAATGCAGTTTCTTTAGAAATTCTCAGATATTAATATACATGATGTAATTGAAAGGAATGTTTTCATGTAATTTGTATATATATTTTTTTCAGAAAATTAAGGAAAAATATATTAGGTGTGTAAGGAATCAAATGAAAATGAAAACTTCATTTTATGTTTTGGCAACTCTTGAATTTCTTGAATTTATAGTTTAATATTTCATAATGTACACAGAGAGATGTATGTATAGAGACAAAAGATAAATATAGCTAAGATAGATATCCTAAATTTGTAAGTGAAAGCTAGTGTTACAAACAAGAAAAAGACTGAGCTTATGAAGGTAAAGGAGTGTTTGCCTAAAACTAAAAATTTATATAAAATAAAATTTCTAAACATTAGAGAAGTTAGTAGCAAATAGAAACCTGAGAAATTTCCAAAATTGAAGGTAATCTTTAATAAAAAAATTAAATTCTGCCCCCCCCAAAAAAATGGAAAGCAAATTATAAGTGAAAATATAAAAATGCCATACATTTTCTATAGCCTGCATTCTTTTCAGCAGTACAGAAGCCTAAAAATACACTTAAACCAGGAAAGACTTCTGCTCATAGCTTGAAAACTTAAAGATGGAAATAACAAAAATTTTATCGAGAGATCAAAAACAAATTCCATGTAAAATCACAGATTACAGAAATTAATCTTTGACTGACATCATGCTGTATACCTTACTGTCAAGGGTTTTACCTTTTCCAGATACCCTTTGTGGGTAATACCATGGCAACGCTTATCAAGATGATGCAATGCTTATCTTTTTGTTAGTCAAACTGTGCTTTGTAATGCTGCTGATGGGCTCAGCAGGCACAGACCAACCCCCTTTTTGACATGTGTTGTTGAAGTAAATGCACTTTTCATCACAAGTGACAATCCAGTCCAGAATTTTGCCCTTGAGTGGATATTCGAGCAGATTAGAGCAGACCCAAAAATGTCTGTCCTTATCTGCTTGAGTCAGATTATGTGCCACCTAGTGATTGAACTTGTACATCAAGGTTTATGTGATGCATAGCAAGACTAATGGACATCGCGCTAATGTCTAACTCCTTAGCAAGCTCTCGAGTGGTTGCATACTGATCTTCTTCCAGAAGTTCTCACAGGCGGGCCTCATCAACATCAGTAGGCCGACCAGAGCGCTTTGCTTCATGAATATCATAGTCCTTGAGTTCTAAAGCAAGCCTCTCTCTTTCAAATGCCAAAAATCATATGAAAAATATGATTAAACATGCCAATGCAAACTGTTTGTGCAGATGATATTTGAGGTTGCGGGAAACTTTCGTTAAAACCCGATAAATTCAAATTTTTGCATGGCAATGATATAGCTAAATAAATAATATCCAATTAATTAATATCACTGACACATCATAAACACTTTTTAATACGAATGGAAGTAGTTTCATCTTAATCTTGTTAGAGCTTACTTTTCCATATTTAGAGGAAAAAATTAAATCAATAATTCATCAGTAAGTAAAGTTACATGGTACATTTAAAAATCTTAATTTATAAATATTATACATGTATGAGTATTTTAGCATCATTAAAAAATATTTCGAGCTGTTGACAAACCTTAATAAAGACATATGTTTCATAGCTCACATAATAGCTTACAATAAAAATGTACAGTAAAATCATTTTTACATAAATTATGATAATTAAAATAATAAAATCATACCACCAGCCCAAGTCAAGCTCTATTAAACCATTACAATGCTCTGCTATTTCTTTAACGCCTGCACAATTCAGTGAAGTAGCTCTCCACAAATCCAGAGTTTTGAGATTTCTACAATGAAATAGGAAAAATCTGTGATTATATAATTCACGCATCATGTATACTCTTTAAGAATATATCTAATAACAAATTACTTTTACTTTCATTTTTACATGCATTTAACTAACTTGATTTAAAATTAAAATTTCAGAATGAACTAACTGCATTACATTTTTTCATTTTCATGAGAAAAGAACCTTAGAAATGCCAAACTGAGTTAATTTCATACCAATTTTGTGATAAAATTTCAAATATTATTTTTATGAGAAAAGGCAAAATTTATAAACAAATTGTAAGATACGAGTACTGTAGCTTTTCAAGACATATAACTCTATCTTCATACCATATTTCCAAAGAGAAGTTTCTGTTCACACTGAGCATATGAACAATTGAGAATTTTTACCTTTCCATGTAGAGAGTTGGGTAAGAATGAACACATCAAATCTGATGCATCTTGCCAAATGTCCAATTAACACCGACACAGAATCTTTAATACTAAAGCATCTAGTAATATCCATCTACTGGATCAAACCCACCATACAAGAATCGAGAGCACCAAAGAATCAAAGTATCTTGCATTATGGCCAGTTAAGCTTCATAGCAATATCTTACAGCACTGCAATATGAAGGAAGTACAAATTTCCAACATAAGTAAAAAAAATTCACATGAAGATGAACTAATTTCTGTCTCGATTGAAACAATTAAATTTCAATAACTAAATTAAGAAATTTTATCTGAAAAGAATATTAAATTTGGCTGGCAGTTTCCTCCTATAAAACTATTCAAATAAGAAAAAACAGAATTGATATATCTGATCTATAATTATTAACTTTAGGACACAGAATAAATACTTAGAAACACACAGGCAGATACAGCATTATCTAAGCAAATGACAATAAATTATATTTAAACGGCAGCACATAATACTAGTTAAACATTTCTTTTTTTAGTTCACTACCAAAATTTTTATAAGCAACAAAAATTAAGATATGAAAAATAAAGACAATAATACAAAAATAGTGTCTGCCGTATTTATGTCAAAAGGAACTGCAGAAAATTCAATCAGCATTGGGACTAATAATTTAAATTTATGGATTACAAACATATGGCTAAAGGATAACAAAGAGAATAGATGAATCAAAGGCAAAATTATGAAACAAAATTACCATAAAAATAAATATGAAGTAAAAAAATACATTAAAACCTTTAGCACTAACTAGTTATCTAAGACGACAGCTGAAAATAACAACCATTTCTGATAACATAATTAAATAATGATACTGAACATCATAAATAGTCATCTTCTCTACAGAAGATCAAAATCATTTGGAACCGTAGATAGTTAAGGGTTCACGGTAGAGTTAATTATAAGTATCAGCAACAATCATTCTACAAATATGAGAAACCAGAAACTGAATAACTCTATGCAAAATATAATGAGGTAGCAAAAATTCCAAAGTTTAAGAAAACTGTTGCAGATATGGTTTCAATTATATTTATTGTAAATGTTAAGAAAAAATTAAATTGTTTATTTGAAATATGAAGAGAAATAATCAACTTCAATGCCACTTTGTAAGGAGGAAGAACACTGAAATAAATTGAAATTTTTTTCCACAAAAATTGTTGCTTTTCTGTATCCAGAATTAACCGACGAACCATTTCAATGTATTTCAATTATAGCAGCTCACCTGAAAATTCTTGTTTTTTGGAGGAGAACTATTATAATTAAAATACATTGAAATGGTTCATCGGCTAATTCTGGATTAAAGGATGGATTTTTGTGGAAGAGAAATTTTAACTGATTTCAATGTTCCTTCTCCTGACAAAGTGTCATTGAAGTTGACCGAATTCCTCTTCTATTATGTTCTTTTTTCATTGATTTTTTTGAATTGGGGTATTACTTGTTTGAAGTGTTTTGGTTTTAACATGTATAAAACTCCTTTTTGCATTTATAGGATTATTTGAAATTTATTACTTAGAAATTTCAATTTTTTGGTCTTCTTGAAAAATTAGTTCTAAATTTCTTACTTTATATCTTTACTGATAATTTTTCAGCAGCCTAATGTATGAAAATACTAGACATGATTATATTATGTTTTTAAAAAAATCATTTTGTAATTACAGATATATTACACAATGCTAGAGAAAGAGTGAATGTACAAAGTGATAGAAATATTTTGGGAATTATAAACAAGAAATTACCATTTACTTATGGCCTTTTTGGGAAGTTTAGAGTTTTGAGGCTAAACCCTTAGCCACCAGCAGAGTTAACGTACAAACTAAAGGTATGCAACCTAACTTCTATTTCATTAAAAATATAACAGGATTCATAAACTTTATTTCAAGACTGGTAATATAAAAACCGAGACTGTGCCAGATTTGTTAAGAATTTTGTAAAATATAAATATTTATGGATAAAGTTAGTTGGTTAATATATCTATATCTATCTATATATACATGTACACAATACTTAGAAAATAAATCGTTTAGCAACAAAGGAAAAATTAATGAGATTTTTTAAAAATATTTATTACCTTTATGTTCTATACATTTAAGACTATTTAATTTATTTATTTTATGTAAACTTTCTACTGCAGAAGTGCTAGTAATATAGATCTAGTTTCTACAGCCTTTTAGAAAAATATAGAAATTTACAGAAGTTTTTGCTTGTCCATTCAGCCAGTGCTGCCAACTGCATTCAACTAGTGCAATTTGATGGCAAAGATACTAGCAGTAAAGATACTGTTAGCATCTTTGCCATCAAATTGCTGTTTGGTAAGGAATATCTTCAAATGCTAGAAAAGTCACTTGTTTACAGCTAAATGATTTAATAAAAGTTTGAGTTTGAACAATGCTGTCTACCAAGCATTATCATTGAGCAACTCATGGTACCTCATGAGGAGCCCTCTTGAGGAACTCATGGTATCATACCATGAGTTCCTCAAAAGTTTCAGTCTCTTTGAAAGAAAATGCTTGTCTGGTATTTTAATTTGGGGAAGATCTAAAATACCTCTATTACATGTATTGACATTTAATTTCAAGGGTTGCATGTGATATCCTTGTTTCACGAAGCACAAAAATATGGCTCAAAATTTCATTGTTATTTATCAAGTAAAAAAAGTAAGAACCAAATTTTTGACAGATCCATTTAGCACAAAAGAGTTTTTGATATTAAAAAAAATCTACGACATATGACAAATTTGTGAGCCATTTGACCATGACCATGAACATTATCATGACATTCATCAAAGTCTCTCATCTGTCTTCCGACCACTGAATCTACGAGATATGATGCATAATTTCTGCTAATTTAGCAATGAATTGTCTGTAACATGTTTCCTACGTTCAAAATAAAACTGCATATATATATATATATATATATTTCTGGATTTTCAGTCTTAAACATTTTGTCATCTTGAAATGATATGATCATATTTTTAGAATTTTCTGTTCAAGAAAACAAGCAACATAGAAGAAACATTCTGAAATATCTACAGATGTAGCTGCAGTGGACACAGTTTAATTTTCCTTTGATACCAGCATATCATGTACCTCAATATAAAATTCAGAGGCCAAGATTCATGAGCCAGATTTTGACTCATGACATAAACAATTATCAGGTAATTCTCATTTGCAAAACAATTCAGGCATTTTAATAGCTTCAGAAAGTCCCAAAAAAGAAACTTTCAATATTGTTTCAAATTGCACAATAATGAATTCTAAATAAGTGCAATTTCTACTACAGAGAAGACTCAATTCAATCAAATAATTTTCATGTTATTTCTAAATGGGAAAGTTAATCCAATATGAAAACTAACATCTTAGATTCACTAATGCACAGATAAACATGATTAATACATTCATATAATTGTTCAATGGAAAATTATTGTAACAATATGCCAGTGCTGATGATTTAGAGGTGTAAGAGACATGCATGCATAGACGATCACATAATAATGACAATATAATTTTTAACTTGAGAATTAATGTTACACCTTTAACGCTCTCAAATAAAGATTTTACTTACTTTAGATTTCTTCCTATAGCTTGAGCAACTTCATTAAAATCCTTAATACCTATACAGCTCCCTAAAAACAGATGTTCCAGCTTTGAACATGACCTGCAATTTATGAAATCAAGAACAAAAATAAAGAGGAAAAGAAGTATACAAAAAAAAAAAAAAAAAAAAAAAAATTAAGGAGAACAGAAAAATGACTTACTTAATAATATTAAGTATGGAAGAGTCATCTATTAATGTTCGATACAAATCAAGGTATGTTAAATTTTGTATTAGTGAAATGTAATTAAATCCTGTTCGAGTCAAGTCACTGGAACGACAGCTTTGTAATATCAGTTCTAGAAGAAAATTTCAAAAGATTCATTGAAGAACTTTTTTACATTTAAAAGCACATTTATATTAATAGCATTTATATATAATCATATTTTATGTGTACTTAAATCACAAAAATACTAGTTTTTTATTATTAGCATTAATAATAAATATAAGGGGTGTTCAAATGAAATGGTATGAAATGACACTGGGGGTATAATTGAAGTCTTTATTCACAAGTTATCATGACAGGTTTAAGCACAACTATCCCATTGTCTCAAGAGCCATAGAATTCCCTGTTCCCAGAATTCCTGTGGCTGTGACAAAAGGCAATCTTCCACTATGTCCCTCAGTTGATCATCCGAGTTGAAGCGCTTCCATTTCAGAATTTTTTAGTGGACCAGATACATGGAAGTCACAGGACAACATGTCCAAGCAAATGTTCCAGCTGCTTCCCATTGAACTTGGCCATTACATTTGTGTAACCTTGGAGACATGTGGAAGCACATTGTCATGGAGCAGAATCACTGCATGAGCAACCCAGGTTGTTTGCTCTTGATAGACTTGCATAGCCTACGAAGTATCTCACAATATGCATCCCTGTTAATGGTTTTTCCGTCCTTGAGGAATTCAATGAGTGTCGAACCTCCGATGTCTAAAAAGATGCTGAGCATCACCTTGCCTGCTCAGAGCACAGCTTTGAATTTTTTAAGGGGAGGTGATAATGCATGCTTCCACTGCATGCTGCTTCGCCATGTCTCAGGCTCGAAGTGATGGCACCAGCAAAGATCGACTCCAGGAAAGCAGGGTCTTGATACCGGAACAGGTGTTGCAGGGTTGACTTCCATTGACTTCCTTTTGCGGTTCGCTTAGCTTCTTTGAAAACCACTGGGCGCACATCTTCCAGTAACTCAGTTTGTCGTGCACAACTTTCCACATTGTTCCAACAGTGATTCCCACCATCCCTGTCAACATTTACACTATGACATGCTGATCACTTCTCACCAGGTCCAAAGCCAGATTTAGACTTGATAAGGCTCTAAGCTATTTAAGATCTCAAATGCCCTTTATAAGTCTGTTATAATATATTTTAATACTATTTATACTATATTTTAAATTTTTAGGGACCTCCCAAGAAAGTGGGGTGGGCCTAAGCTATAGCTTGTGTAGCTTATATGTAAACCCAGTCCTGATCAGGTCATTCATCTTCTCGATGAGTTGGGCTATGACTACCACGTTTTCCTGGCCTAGTTTTAGGTCATTTCTCAAACATTCCTGGCCTTCATGGAAACGAGCACTCCACTTTTTCACTGACTTATCAGACACACAGTCTCCCCTGTATACAGGCACCATCTGACGATGAATATTGGCCAGTTTAACCCCTTACACAGTCAGAAATCTGATAACTCCTTGCTGCTCCTCAATGATCAAATTTTCCAATGGAAATGCCATGATGTCCTCTCATACACTGCTATGTCAACTGGATGGAAGACACAATTGCTTGCTTCTCTCCTATGTCATGTGCAGGCACAAAACCATGCTGGACACTATTTTCGCATCCCTAGACTACAATGATATTTTACTACATTATCCCTAAGCCGCATAACCTTCTCATTCGAACACCCCTTATATAATCGTTTAAAATAAATTTTAAGTAAATCTATGTTAAATATCGAAAGTACAAATAAGTCTGCGTCCTTTCTTTTTTTTTGAAAACTGAACATTTATTGTGAAAGAAAGGTACACTGCACACACAAAAAAGGGGGGGAGTTCACTATTCCCCGTTGCTGAATGACAAAATTCAAATTGCGTTTTTCATGTCTCAAAAGCGTGACTTAGGATATATATTAGATTTATATATAGCATTGTTCTAACATAGGTATTTTGACACAAAATCGGACTTTTTCTGAAATAACATACCATTTTTTTTCCATATTTCAATTCTACAACTAAAATTATGCCTAGACATTAAATTTTGTAAATTTGGTGTGAAATTTATGGAGAAATTCAAAAATTTATCTTGTCGCAATGTCTTCAATTAGCACCAAGAATAATTCACTTGGCGCACTTCTTAACATATGGCAACAATTTTCCTTTTCATTATGCTGAAGCAGAAAAAAAGGCACCTTTTTCCTATCTTTTTACATTGTGCATTAGCGGGTTAAAAAAGTCACATCGTTCTTACTTTCAAATAATTATAGCAAGTGTCTAAACCACATTTGATGTTTTATTGCTTTCAACAAATATGCCAAATTTCAAAACATGCCAATATATAAATTCACGTATATCTTCAGAAATTTGGAATAAAAAACTGTAATTTTTGCAGGTATGCTTAGAAATACATCTACTTTAAGATGATGGTAAAAATTTATAGATTATAATTCAAAATTCTTTAAAAATTTATAAAAATTATTTAAAATGCAAATTTTAAAAATAATCATAAAAAATAGATGAATTTTATTTGGAATGAACCTGAATTTTGAAATGTGAAAGGAAGAATCAAATAAGTTTAATAAAAAAAAGAGAGATTAATAAATACATACCAAACTAGATTAACAACGAGGAGCTAAAATTTTGAGAGCTAATTTTTTAAAAACTACTCGTGTAACTTTTACAAAACTTGGCAGTTTGGTATAATTTGATTCGTAGAGTTGAAATATGGAAAAATATTGGTATTTTATTTCAGAAAAAGTCCGATTTTGATTTGAAAAATACCTCTATTAGAACAATGCTATATATAAATATAATACATATCCTAAGTCGTGCTATTGAGACATGAAAAACGCAAGTTGAATTTCGTCAATCAGCTGAGTAGAATGGGAGATACAGAACTGTCTCCCCTTTTTTTTTTGCACAGTGTACATTAGTTTCATTCAAAGTATTATCTATCGATAGCTACTACTTTCTTCCATCTTACTGAAGAGCATACAAATACTGCATTGGAAAAATGCTTCATCTTTCGAGGCTATCCACAAATCAACCCAATTTTTGGTATCTTCATATGATGTGGAGCACTGCTTGGACAAGCCATGCATCATAAATCAAAATAAGTAGTAATCAGAAAGAGCAATTATCTGATGAATACAGTGGAAGGGAAAACTTCTCATTTGGGTGTTTCTGAGTAGGTTTTGACCAGTGGCACAACATCTGGATGAGCATTATCATGCAAGAAAATAATTTTGTCATGTCTGGAATAGTAGTGGGTAGACATTTCTTTGAGTGCTTGGCTCAACCTCATCAACTGTATTCGGTAGACAGTCCCAGTAATAGTTTTGTTCAGTTTGAGCATGTCATAATACATCACACCAAGTTGTCCTCACCATATACACAGCATGATTTTTTTTCCTGTGAATATTCGGTAATGAAGCATGGTCAGGTGGTCCTCATGACTGCACTGGATTCCTTTTTCATAACCAGTAACTATACAATGCAAAAACCCCTTTCATTTATGGCTGGCAAGCAGCATTTCATGTATAAAATATTAGTGTTAAACATTTTTCGGCTTCAATTCATATGGTACCCAGTTTCCTTGCTTTTTGAATCATTCCCAATGATTTTAAATGATGTGAAACTGCTTGTTTAGTCATTCCTAAATGGAAGTTCTACTTGCGTTTGGCATGAATCTTCATCTAATAATGCTTCCAATTTTGTATCTTCATGCACTTTCATCCTTCCACTCCATTCTTGGTCTTTGACGTCAAATTCCCTGTTCTTAAACTTTTGAAACTACTCACAACTTCTCTTATTTAAGGCAGCCTCACCATATGCTTCTACAAGCAATCGATGCATCTCAGCTGCAGATTTCTTCAAATTAAAGAAGTAAATAAAAAGTTCCGGCAAATGACGCTCATTCGGCTAAAAAACTTGACATCTTTGCATAAAAAAATTATATGATGCTGACATAAAATCTAGCAAATGTCTAACCTTATGATGTGATATTTTGCATCAGACAATTTTAACCGTAGCTTACTGGCTAACAGGAAGTACATATATCAAAACTGAAACAAAAATGAAAACAAAGCATCATTTTAGCAGATATGCATTTCTTTGGTTTGAAATTTATTTAAATAATTAATTAATACAATTGTTTTTAATTTATACAATGGTTTTCCCGGTTTTTTATTTTGAGAATTCTTTTTTATACTGTTTATTTTTCAGTATTTTTTATGGTCATGTATGAAGTGATTATGTTCTTAATGATTTAATTCAAATTAAAATTTGTTTTAAAATTTTGTTTAATTTATTTAATCAATTTAATATTTTTTTACTTTTATTCACTTTAATAGACTTCAATTTAGTTAATAATTTTAATTAAATTTATTTTTTCTTTTGGATTTATTTCAAGAACTTACAATCATTCAGATATAATTCAGAAACTCAGCTGTGTTGAAAATTCTTTACTGCTCCTTGAAAAAGACCAAGGAATTTTCAATAATTTGTTATATTATTATTAAATTGTTTTGCTTTTGATGTATGTACTTCCTGTTAGAATGTTATCCCTTTTTTTAAACTATTCTTTCTCGATTATTTAATTAATTTTGCAGCATAGTGCACAACTTTAATAACTTATAATCTTAATTTGCAAATTTCTAAATTTTTGTTTATGTTAGATGTATTTAAAAATAATCTGACGAGTTAAAAATTATAAATATGTACTGCTGGAATAAACACCTACATGTAAATTAGTTTTGTAATACATAAGACAGGATAATTTATAGTTATTAATGATACATAGCAAATAAATAGATGTAACTAATTCAAGAAAAATGCAGATATTAGGCAAATCTATAGAGACATTTAGAATTTTCCAAGGCCATAATACATGAAGAATCTGTACTTCTTCAAACTCAGTACTGCCTGATAACATGCTTTCCAGCAACAGTGTGCAATAAGTAGGGAAAAAATATGGTATAATAGGTTGCTATAAGTATTATTATTATCATCTTCAAATTTTCTTTTGATATTAGATTTAATTATTTCTACACTTTTAAATCTGTGTTAACCTAATAATTTTTAATTACATTATATATTGTACCTACTTTTAACTTTGCAGGATATATAGTATATAGCCCTTTTTTCACACATTTGTTTACTAAACCAGGAGTGCCATATTTTATGCTCTATATCTATGCATTACACTGAACATGAATTTATGTATGCCTTTTAAAATCATACAGTGCAGAAAATAAACTCACCTTGCAAACATGAGCAATGACTGGCAATTGCTTTTAAAGCACTGTCATTGACAAATGAACAAGAAGATAAATTCAAATACAGTAACAAAGGACAACTGGTCTCTAAAAACCTATCAATAAAAATTTTAAAATAATGTTAATTATAATAAATCATTAATTCACACCAGTAATAAAGGAATTATGATTAATATACTTTTGTTACTATATGTCACTTAAAGGCTTTTTTTAATCTTAAACAAAAACATAAATGTCAGGTGAATAATTAAACAAACTAAAAAATTTAACATTAACTTTTCTGAAAGAATGCATACAAAAAATATTTTCAACACAAATCTAACTCTTTTCTGTTATAAAGATACCATTCTACTATTTGGCTTTGTTGAATTCATTTAGTGTAAAATTTAATCTAAGCCTAGCAAAGGAATCAAAAGACTTTCTTCTATAACAACATTATGCGATTGATTGAATCATAATTATAAGTATTATTTAGTACAGTATGAAGTCCATAAATGCAGACATACAGCATCTGAAATGATCTAATATTGAGACGTCTATAACACCAGAAATTTTTTTTTTTACAAATTTTTTGCAAAAAGAAGAAAGGATTAGTTTCTGAGAGTAATGTATCGCTTTAGCATATGCATATTGCTTTACACATGCACAGCAGACACTTTTTCATAATAAAGCATGTGGATTCTTAATTTCACTTCATGGCACTAAATAAAGACCTTCATGCTGAAAAAATGCAATCACTTATTAGCATAAATTTTTACGGTTAATAATTTATAATTTGGCTTTGTAGCAATCTTTTTTTAGTCAGCCTGCATTTCAAACCAAAACATTATATTAAAGTTCATCCTTGATTTTATATTTGCTGAATAACTCATGACCTTGATATCAAGCCAATGAATCATATTTTATTTTATTTATTTATATTTTTTGCTTTCATATCACAAGACTATTAACTAATGGAAGCTTGATAAAGGACTCATGCAGCAATGTCTAAAATTATTATTATTATTATTATTTAAATATTAGCAACTGAATACTAAACAGCATGGTAACCTTTTATGTTGACATTGTGCTTCCAGATTATTATAGACTTCAGCCAACTGCACTGTGAAGTTCTGAGTGTGTTAAAAAGGAGGAATTTAATAGAAATATCGCAAAATAATTTTGAATTGAGCATATCTTTAGAATTAGTCTCATGTGCTGGAGATAAAAATGTTTTACAATATTGCCGTTGCTCGCTTTGAAATCCTTCAGTTTGTTAATCAAAAATTCGTTAAAGTTTTACAAAATATGAAATCGATAATAAAACAAATTCAAAATTTCAAATTTGGGCTTTCAGATGCCCATATTCACAGTAGGATTATGTCATTTAAAATTTGATGGCTCTAGGTACCGTTGTTTCATCACAATGCGAGAAACATACATACATTTATGCAGATTCTTCATTATTTAATTTCTTCAAATATAATACAGGGCAATAATATTTGGTGGCAACAGTTTGAAAAGTGAAACAGACATTCAGAGTGAATCGATGCAAAATCGCAAAACAAAAAAAGGACAAAGCCTCATGGACTATTAAAAAAAAAAAAAAAAAGAGTAAATAAGAAGCAAGCATGCTAAGTATCACAAATTTTGAAAGCATATAAATTACCCATTCTCCTTTATTAAGAACTAAATGATGAAATTATGCAGATGAATATAAACATAATTTTTATCATTCCATGTGTTGCTATTTATTTTTTACCTATAATGTTTGATCAGTTTGTTCTAAGTAAAGAAGAGTGACATACTTAGCTTTCAAAACCTGATGCACTGTGCACTTTAATTTTTACTTATTTATAATTGCACACAGACAGGAAAAAAAGAAAAGTTTAAATGAAAAATTATGAAAGAATTTTAAATGGATTCACTGCCTTATGCAATAAATGCACTATATTTGAGAATTAATATATGCAATTATTGAAATTAAACAAATCCTTCAGTTAAAGAAATTTCTAGAATAATTGAAAATAACTAATATAATTTTTCAGATGTTGAGAAACAATATCTGTTGCCATTAAAATAGGCAAATTGAAACTTTTAAGGAAATTAATTTTTCTTTAGAATGTCTCAGCCTGGTATTGATATGGTTAATAACACTATCTTCAGACATGCATAGTTTATAGCAGGAAAAAACTGAGAACATTAGATTTCTCAAAATTTATGTTATCGGTGGGGGGGGGGGAACTTGAATAAGTAGTTGATAATAATAAAATTTGTAGATGGAGAATAAATAAAATAAACATCAAGGAAATGACAATTATATAACTACCTAATCAAAAGCACAAAACAGTACCTAATAACCATGCAAGTTTTACTACTTTCATGATGGGAACAAAAGGCTGCTCGAAAAAAAATTTGTCATTAGGAAATAGTGTAAAGGGGTGGTACCATTTGCCATCTGGCGATACTGAAATCTAAAACAGGACTATTTCAAGCCTCGCTTAGAAGATTAAGCACATATAGCAAATAGATATAAATATATAAATAACCATACTAATATAATTCAGGCTGAACTTCCTCAATGAGAGATAGAAGCAACATAAAATCTATCATGTCTTTAGTCATGCTATGCCTATCACAAAATAAAATGTCTTTGGTCGGCAGTCTTGTGATAGTGTATAGTAGATATTTGTTGAGCTTTATGATGATAGCCCTGAATTTAAAGATTTTTGAATATCACAAACCAAAAGCGAAATTTTTCAATTAATGGAATTTGTGAAGAAGTCATAATAAATGAAGATAATATTACAGAAGCATTCCATTAGAATGACAATGCTCCAATAATCAATTCACAAAGTTTTATGATGATAGCCAAGAACTATTTTTGGATATTGTACATAAAATGTGAAATTTTTCTATTAACAGAATTTGTGAAGAAATGTGGAGAACTCATAATAAAGGAAGATGATATTACAGAAATATTCCATTGCAATAACAATAAATAATCAATCAAATAAGTTTTATGATGACAGCCAAAAATATGAAGGTTTTTGGATGACACAAACAAAAAAGCTAAATTTTTCAATTAATGCAAATTGTGAAGATGTGTGCAGAATTCATAATAAATAGAGATGACATTGCAAAAGCATTCTATTGTGTACAGTTTATTTTCTTTGATTTTTGGACACGTTAAACTTTCATCCTTGAGACTGCTTTTACAAAAAGAATTTTGGAAGAATGAAAATATTTTGTATTTTAAAAAAATTTTTTAAATGAAGCTTCCAAGTACACTTCTCACATCTTTAAAAATGTGATTTTGGCAACAATTTTCCTTTCTTATTGTTGTTGATAGATTTTTGATGAAATCGCATCCTTTTGAATAGTTTCATACTTTTAGAAATATGCGTTTGGCAACAATTTTTCATCATATTTCTTATGTCACTGTTTTTAAGAGATTGGCATATTTCATTGTCATTTTTTTATATATATAATACTCTGCAGAGTAATATTCTGTGCAGTTTTTAAATTTAATGTTTGGTGTTCCCTTCAGGCATTTTTCCGGTACATTTAAAAGCCAGACGAAGGCTGTCTGCGTAGCGGCTAGTGTTTAATAAAGCAAATAAATAAGTATGCAGAATTTTTATTTATGTTTTAAAATTTTTTGTTTGCTTTTCCTGTAAAATCAAAAATGCTTCATTATTTTATAAATATCTATGTCATATTTTTAATTTTATAACTTCTATCTGTCACCTTACTAGATTTAAAGTGATGATCTAAAATTCAGAATCGCTGAAGTTTTGACGAGTCTGAATCTCGAATTTGTACTGTATAACTTAAAATGCTCATATGATTACTCATGACTGCATTATTTATGAAAAAAAAAAAAAAAAAAAAAGATAATCGACATTTAATTTAGCTGTTTATTACAGCCAAAAAGCACAATATTATTGAATGATGGTATACAATCTTTCTATCCCTTTCACATATAGAGATTTTATTTTAGGGAGTTCATTTCAGAAAAAAAGAGTTAAATGTCATAAACATCCATTCTTGAAGAGGTATTCATTCTACAGTAATTATTATCAGCCAGTAAGTAAATAGTAACATAGATAATATTTAGTTACTACACAGAATGTTTCAAGATTTTAATCAAAAGAGACTTTTGAGCCAGTTTCCTTTTGCACAATGAGGAGAGGTAAAAATGACAATTAACTTGTGTGTCTTAAAATTCTTTTACTTCTTTGTCATTAATATTAAAATCTCTTTAAGAAAAATAGTGCACACTACTATATTACCTTAATAAATGATTGGGATCTCCAAAATATATCAATACACAATAGTATATTGACAAAACAGAAAGTTAGTTAATGCAAAAATAATTTAATTAATTAATTAAGTGAGCATTAAACATTAAGACACATGCTAGAGTAGAAAATACCAATATAGATATATATAAACATGGGAAAGTAAAATATATTGATGAATACTGAATTAACTTACATTCATCATTTGAATTTCTGAAATTATTTAATTACTTTAAATCCCAATTTAAGGCTGAAATCTGCTCAATTTAAAGTTGACACATTTCTCTTATTTGGCACAAGTTATATGGTTTTACCCACAATTGATTTATTAATGTAGAAAAACATTCATACAGAAGGTAAAAAAAAAAAAAAAAAAAAGTTGCTTAAATTGTTATTGCTACAATAACTTCTTAGTTATACCACAATAACAATTTTCTCTTAATACTGTGGTATATGTATATAGTACTTCACTGTTACAACCCTTTCAAATCAGCTGTGGTTTCAGATATTACACAAGTGTTGCCTAAAACCAAAGTAATTACACGGGGATAGAACTTATCATTGCTTAACAAAACAATGATTTTCGAAATATTCTGACTTACATATTATCCCGTTAACCATGAAATGGTTGCCAAGCAGCATGATTTAGAGTCAGTTATGGATAAGCATGATGTAACAACACATTCATAACAACTGTACTTTCATCTGATGTAACTCCAATTTATTCTCGATGAGCCACATCTTGTTTTTATGAACATGGATATAAATCAGCTGCTCTTGTTGTATTTTTTCCCTTGTATTTTGAAAACATA